GACCTGGGCCTTAACCAGCCCCCAGGCCATAGGTTGCCGGTCCCTGGTCTAGACTAAGAAACTAGGAGGCCAAAGAAACTGGAGCAGATCAAGTTACTGTTTGGCTATGTAATCTGTAGGAAGTCTTCTCTTTGAACACTAGACAGGTGACAAGAATACCTGAAAAGGCTTGTTTATCCCCCACCCCCAGGATGTTATCATTTTGATTATACATTTCTCTTGATACAAACGATAATGGCTGTTAAGAGAACAGAAGAGGAGCAAAAAGCTTTCTGGAATAATAAAAGCAGGTACAAGTTAAAACTGGGGAAAAGGTGAAATCTGGAGGTGGAAAATGACCTAAGCTATGACTTAACAATAAAGAGAGAGCAAGATTGAGAAAGAGAAAGAGAGAGAGAAGGAGGGAGAAATCAGTTTGTATTCTGTTTGCAAGGAATACAGTTTCATCTACTTCCACTGTCTTTCCTGTTATTGTTACTGTGTGCCTTCAAGTCATTTCTGACTTATGGCAACCCTAAGGCAAAGCTATCATGGGACTTTTTTTTGGCAAGATTTATTCAGAGGGGTTTGCCTTTGCCTTTCTCTGAGACTGAGAGTATGTAACTTGCCCAAGGTCACCCAGCGGGATTCCATGACTGAGTGGGGATTTGAACCCTGGTCTTCAGAGCCAGAGTCCAACACTCAAACCACTACATCACTCTGAATGCCAGTGATTCTTATACTGGGAGTTAAGTGCACAATGTATTCAAAAACAGGAAACTGTGGTACACTAAATAATGGTGAGTAAAACATTTCCAAGTTGTTCTTTAAAGTGATAAAGGTATCACTGCATTGTGGATTTTGGATGATACAGTACTTTGCTACATGGCCAACATGGGTACCCCTGGATATGTTTACTTTTTTAGAGTGTACCATCTTGTACATCAAGGTGAGAAAAGTGTGGCCCCAGGAAATACGTAGCCTCAAGCCTTTTGGTAGCCTCACAAAGGAGGTTACCAGGTGTCCCTTACTTGTAAGGGATGTCTCATATTTATGGGTCAGAAAACATGTCCCGCATGAGCATTAAAGATGCTAAAACCCTGTATTTTCAGATACCAGTTATAAACATAGCCCACAAACCACACACCAAATCGGGGGGGGGGGGGTCTGTTGTGAGTGTGGCAGGCCAGGTACCTGCTCTTTAAGTTGCAGCCTGGGTAGTGCACTGGGCCTACGGATAGTAAAACTCTGTCCCTTTTCAGCTTCCAGAGGTTTTGGGGGTTGCTAATTTGAGATCTCACAGGAGCCTGGAGCTCTCATGAAAGGCCCTGCTCTCTTAAGGTTTGAGGCTGGCCTTATGTAAGCAAGCCTCATATGTCCTGTCCAGTCCTTTCTGTACCTCAGTGCTGTTTTGAAAACCCAGCAACCCCAATGCCCCCAACAGTGCCATATTTTTAAAATAGTCTGGTGAAAAGCCACCAGAAAAGGCCCAAAGCATTTCAAACCCACCCAAACACAGCAGTTGGTAGTTCCCCACCCACCCTTGTGGCTAAAATTCACCCAAAATGTAAAAACAACAACAACAACAACAACAATGGAAGTGGCACCATATCATTTCTACTCCAGTGAAAATGTAATGGATGTAGTCTCCTGGGGACAAAAGGTCCCTGCCCAACCTAAGACATATGGTTTTGCCTGCTGTATATGTAGATAATTTTGATAAAACTCTTGCTTTTTTTGGTATTTTGCTAAGACTGAGGTTTCTAAATCAACTGGAAGATTAGACTTTAAATCTATGAAAGATGTCAGGTTGTAAGCACTCTTCCAATGTTTATTTATTCTCTATTAATAGGGATTCAATGGTTGTGTTCCTAAATTTTATACTGCCAGATTTACTCTGATTTATTTTCTGTACTACGGTACTGTACTTCACTGCCTTGATGCAAATAGACATTTAGGAAGCAGATACTAAAAGAGGAAGGTTAGTTTTCTGTTTCTAGTTAGAACAGTTTCTGCAGAGTTTACAACTTCTGTTACCAATTGCATTGCATTCATCTTCTGAATGCTAAACCCGAAACAAAGTTTACATCTTATGTAAAAGACCCATAGATCCACATGTGGGTGTCAGTCACGCATACACACACACACATGCAAAACTCTCATTAACCTAAAAAATGTGTTGGCATAATAAACTTTTATGTACATTCAACTAATTAAAATGCACATTAGGGTCATCTAAAATATGCAAACAGAGGCACTCCTTGAACTTGCAGTTCAGAATTCATCTTAAGAACAAATGGATGATTCTAAAATAACTGTTGTAAGCTGCCCCAATTGTTTTTAACAGAGGGGCGGGGTATAAATTATTATTATTATTATTATTATTATTATTATTATTATTATTATTATTATTATTATTATTATTATTAAACGTGGTATAGTCATTGATTGCCATAGACCAGGTTTAGATTTCCATAGGAATTATTAGCAGGAATTATTACATCTCTCACCCTAACACACAGCCTAGAGTTGTTGGAAGGATAAAAGAAAGAACCTTGAACTCCTTGGATAAAATGTGGGACACATACTAAATAAATTAATAAAGCTTAGGGAGCCTTGAAAGCAGAATGATTGCCTCTTAAGTGGGTACAGACTGCCACCTTTCCAGATTGTTTCCATTGAAACAATCCAGCAAGCACTAGAACACACTTGCAAGGTACATATGTTATATACCCTTCAAAAGACTAGATATGTCGACAATTCAGTAAGTGTCTAATGGCTGAGCAGGACAGAATAACTACAAGATCCTCTTGAGCCATGAGAACCTTTTGAGACATTCTGGGGTAATGAATTTGCCTACTGTGTGGAAATACCGTATATACTCAATTATAAGTCGACCTCATGTTTAAGTCAAGGGCAGGTTTTGGGACCAAAATTATGGATTTTGATATGACCCATGGATACATCAAGGTTAAAACTTTGGGGCATATAACAAAGCATATTTTCCAGGAGAAAAGCAAAGGAAAACAATGCCAAAGAACTTACAATAGTGCAGCAGGCATAATTGTTTGCGGTCACACTGAAGGCAAAGATGGATGAGAGAGTGGGGGGGGGGGATTAATGCTTCCACACAGATTACACTCTTGCCTTTCACCAGGAGATGGTTCCTCTTTAAGAGTTAAAGTACAGTATTTGCAATGACCCATGGATAAGTCGACTCAGGTTTTTGGAGTCAATTTTTTGACTAAAATGTTTAGACTTATACATGAATATATACAGTAGTAGTTCTCAGGGGCAATGAACTGTCACTAGGTGACCCTAAACCAGTGCTTCTCAATTATTTTCTGTCATGCCCCCCCCCAGGAAGAAGAAAACATTTCGCACCCCCTGCGCGACTGTAAATAGTATCATTTGTCTATAAAATTGTTATAAGTACACCTCTGCATAACACTGTATCCTTATTAACGTATATGAGAATAAAAAAGGAAAGAAATGTGGATCAATTTACAACAAAGAATAGCTTTATTAACTGTAGCTGAAAAGATTTAAAGGAGCCTCGTGCCCCCCCTTGGGGGCGCGCCCCACTATTTGAGAAGTACTGCCCTAAACCAAGGATGGAAAATGGGACATGATGGAAGGGGAAAGTGGACAGCCTTATGTCAATGCTGTGATCACCCCTTCATAGAATCATGGAGTTGGAAGAGATGTCAAGGGCCATCCAATCCAACCCTCTGCCATGCAGGAATACACAATCAAAGCACTCCCCACAGTTGGCCATCCAGCCTTTGTCTAAAAAACTGCAAAGAAGAAGACTCCACCACACTCTGAGGCAGCATGTTCCACACTTGAACAGCTCTTACTGTATGGACATTCTTCCTAACATTGAGGTGGATTCTTTTTTCCTGTCATTTCAATCCATTGCTTCATTTCCTATTCTGTTGAGCTGCAGAAAACAAACTTGCTCCGTCCTCAGCATGACATCCCTTCAGATATTTAAGCAGTGCTATCATATCTTCTCTTAACATTCTCTGCTAAACATACCCAGCTCCCTAAACCTCTCCACACAGGGCATGGTTTCCAAACTTTTCACCATTTTGCTCACCCTTCTCTGAACACACTCCAGCTTCTCAACATCCTTTTTCAACTGTGGTGCCCAGAACTGGATACAGGATTCCAGATGAGGTCTGACCCAAGTGCAATAAAAGTGGCACTATTACTTCCCTCGTAGACACTATACTTCTATTGATGCAGCCTAGAAATGCATGGTTTTCTTAGCTGCTCCATCACACTATTGACTCACGTTTGACTTATGGTCTACTAGGACTGCTAGATCTCTTTCACATGTAATCTTGTTAAGCCAGGTGTCCCCCATCCTGTATCTATGTATTTCATTTTTTCTACCTAAGTGCAGTACTTAAATTTCTCCCTGTTGAAATTCATTTTGTTAGTTTAGCTAAGCTTTCTAATCTATTAAGGTCATTTTGAATTTTGATCCCGTCCTCTGGGATATTAGCTACCCCTCCTAATTTGGTGTCATTTGATAAGCACACCCTCTATTCCTTCACCAGTGAAATACTGCACCTTCATAAGGAGTGACAAATTCCCACTGGAGATAACGCAGAACCACAGACATAAGCCTCATGTGTACACTTTCCCAGCCATTTTGGAGAACAGATATTAACTAATCCACAAGCCAAAAAGGAGGCCCAAAGCACACAAAAGAAAGGAGGAGATCCACAAATCCATCTCCCAATTTTTATTCGTACATTAAAACAGCCACTGGCATCTCTAATTTTAATTGAATAAATGGAAAGGGAGGGACTTTTTCCCTCTGTCACTTCACACACACAAATTAAATGATCAATGGGAGCCAGTGTAGTGGTTTGAGCATTGGACTCTGGAGACTAAGATTCAAATCCTGGCCCAGCCATGAAACCTATTAGGTGATCTTGGCTAAGTCACACTCTCTTAGCTTCAGAGGATGGCAATGGCAAACTCCCTCTGAAAAAACTTTCAGAGAAACCCCATGATAGGGTTGCCTTAAGGGCATCATAAGTTGGAAACAACTTGAAGGCACACACAACAATAACATAGTTGTCAATAGTTCTAGTCTTTTGATGGGTTTAGGAAGGGATCCCCCATACAAGCTGAAGAAGCCACTATGGAAACACTGAAGAAACCACCTGTAAAATACTAGATAAGCAATACCACAAATCCTTTATAGTCAACTTATATGCAAGCCACTATACAGTTATACAATCTATGATAACATAGAGTACATTCAGATTGGCAGAACAACATGACAACATAGTAAGCATATTCTAATTTCATAGGTAACTATTTCTACAACATTCAGAGATTTAGGGTGTAATGTTATAAACACTTTGTTGCTGTTATGTGTCTTCAAGTCATTTCTGACTTATGGCAACCCTAAGGCAAACCTATCGTGGGATTTTCTTGGCAATATTTGTTCAGAGGTTTGCCATACTTCCTCTGAGGCTGAAAGAGTGTGAGTTTTCATGGCTGAGTGGGGATTTGAACCCTGGTCATCATAGTCCAACACTCAAACCACTGCACCATGCTGGCTCCACACTTACTAGACAGTAAATCTCCAGCGAGTTCAAAGGAACTATTCTTTCTCTGCACTCAGCAATGAAACCTGGTTCTTCTCACCCCACATGGATGTTTATTACTTATTTATGAGCTATAATTATATTCCTTCCTT